CTTAAATACTTACACATTTTGGTTTTATACACATTAGAGTTAAACAAAATTTACTAATTTTCAAATGCTAATAACAGAATCACCAGGTAAGCAAGTTTTTTTTTACACCCCCCCCCCCTCCCACCCACCCTCCGCCCACCATTTTGCTTTCTAACATAAATGTTTTTGTTTATAGAGATTAATACAACAATGACCAATAAATGTACTGGATATACTTGGATAATTCCATCAGAACAACCCACTTGCAAGACAATCTCACCAAAATTCATTAGTATATATGGCTATACGAAAATAACTTAACAACTACAATAATCATATGGATGGATCTGATCAATGGCATACAATGTACAAAACCAAACTTGTACTCAAACAGATTTTCTCCCAAAACACAAATTGTTTTTGTGTGGATATCCTGTGTTAAAATTATACTGAACAGTGTGCTATATCATTAACTGTGCACAGGGCTGGAATGGAATTATACACTTCACTTGTGACCTTCAAAACATTCTCTACTGATCAGTGGTCTTCCATGTTCCTCAAATAGTTTGTGTATGTTACTCAACAGTTAACATTGGCAAGTGTAATTAACAAGTGACAGAACTTTTGCTTCATATGATTACAATAAAGTTTTGGAAATTCTATGTGTATGGATTGACAAGTGACAACATCTGCTATCCTGACTATATGGCATCTAAAATGTGTTGTATATTGACATTATATGGATAATAAAGAAGATTGTCAAGCTATCTCTGTGACATCACAACTTAGTTGACCTAAGGAAACCTTGTTACAGTTATGGAAACACCACTGCAAGTGGAATTTATAGCAGCTGTTTTATTCACTATGAAAACCAGATCAATACTCAGTCTCACACAGATTCAATACTAGAATCTAACATTAATTAAACATCTATTTTCAATTGAAAACCTTCAGAAACTGTACAGTTTATAATATATGCTATATAATATATACTCGTGATATAAATTAAAAAATATTTTATTTTATGCTGGTGTAATATTGTGTGCATGAAATTTTTATTTTCTGACTGCATAATTATCCGTTACAATCATAATCACATTACAAAATTAGTTACATTTCCTTGGCGGGGTGGGAGCAGTTGCCCCTGCTTGTTGACTTTAAAATCTTATTTGCTATTATAATTATAATAAGTGATGAAATATTTCAATTGCCCCTTGTCATCTTCATTATTCAGTTCCTTTCAAGAAAATACAAAAATGTGTATTTCCAGTTTTTCGCAGATACATGTACGCCTAGCGTACCTATTTTTTCACTTGCAGTGCGCCAAATATCACCGGTGGAAAAATCCACCGGTGACGTCATTGTTTATACTGAAGACCGAAGCGGTTACATTATCGGTCATTATCGAAGGAGTCTAAAAATAATATTATATTCTCAGGCTCTTTGTTAAACAAATGTGTATTACTGAAGCAAACAGAGTAAACAATGTAATTACAATTTTGTAGAACACAAAAACCATGTAAAAATACACAAACAGACATTACATTTAGTATAAAGTAGGCTACAGGGTGTAGAAATAAACTTTAATACTGCCACCGAAGATGCATCAGATGATTCTAAAATTTCCTCACTAGTTTCGGGTTTAGTTTGGGTTTCTTGATCTCGATTACTGATTATTACAAATTCGTTTGCTGAGAAAACAACGCGTATTTTTGCTGGATTTTGAACTCTAGCGACGTCTTCTAGTTGATCACAATCGCCGCATCTCTGCTTCTTGGTTACAGTTGTCTGATTCTTTTCAATTTATAGATTAACTTCTACTACGTTAATTAAATCGCTGTCGAACTGATTATTCTTGTCGACATATTAAATTACGGCACACATTGTTTAATATACAAACAACTGTGAAGCTTCAATAAGTTTTTACATGCACTTGTTTTTGTTGATACATTAAACAGCTTTCGGCGCTTACTTAACTTGGGTCAATTATATCGTTTCCACACATGGTGCAAACTGTTTCATTCGACGACCAGGAAATATCAATCCTACAGAATGTTTTTGTGTTTTTGTAGACCCATTGAGCATTGTCGGCGCGGTGAAGTAATTGTATGAAATGTACACAGCCTTTTAAATATGTCAAAATTATTCGCGCCAAAATGTTTAATGCGATTTAAATTCCTGCAAGCGACACAAGTCGACCACTCTCGACTTCGTCGCTCGGGTCCTCCCTCGCGCCTTCCCTCCCCCATGGTCGACTTGTGGCAAGTCTAGTATAGCCTATGCTTATACTCCTAGTGTTAATATTGTGTCTGTGAACCCCATGCTTCGTTACTTGTAGAGCAAATCATATTTTACTATTAAAGTAAAAACTGAGCGAGTGAACGTGCCGCTCTCCGCCGATTCAAAGAAACCCAGGTTACCATAAACTAAAGATAAAAGTCAGCAGAAAAAATATATACAAACCTCTTTTACAGAAACCACAAGATAATTATTTGAAATCGAAAAATTCTTTGCGGTAGCAAGTTTGAATTAAGATCAGTGCTCACTGGTACTTGGTAGAGTAGCTTTCGTCAAATGATATTTAAGAATCCTTTGAGGCCTATTTGATGAATATATTATTTTCAATTACATGCCAGAGAATTTTGCTGAAGCGGAAGATATAATTGCGCCATAGCCGTTTGCGATCATATTTAAACAATATTATGCAAATCCAAGGCAAGGGATTAACTGTTTATAAACCATTTTTAAAAACAATGTACATATTTATCAGAATAAAAGTGAATAATTGTATACGAGATGCAGTCCACAAGATCTATACGAGATGCAGTCCACAATGTTGAGTTTTGGGAATTATCACTATCCCTCTTATTAACAAGCAATATGAATTAAGCACCATTTTCCTCAACTTTATTGCAGTTACATCTTTACCTGTAAAATGTATGCATAATGTAATACTATATACCTAATTTAATTTCCTGTTTAAACATTTCATTTGGCTGATTAGATCAGTGCATTTTGCATTGCCACTGCCAGATAAAGGCTAAGAAAATCAAGGAATTCATTTCGTTCGAACAAAAAAGTAATTCATCTCGTTATCCACAGGCAAATTATAGTTATATAGGTCACGGTAAAAATGTAATATTTCCAATTTAATACTAAATGCAGGAATGCATGAGGTCGCTCGGAGTCAAAATGAACAGGCTTTTTGTCAGTTGATTATGTAAACGATATGATCTATAAATCACCATTCTAAAGGCGAGTCCCGAACAGTTATTGTACTTTTGTTTCACAAAAGCAAACAAGAGACGTCTTAGTCGGTACTATAGATAAGGTAGCCTACAAACCTTTCTGAAACCACAAGATATTTCGAATCATGGAGGGTGAAACATTTCAATGCGCAGCAAGATTGAATATATTTATGGGAAAATATTTTTCGTTTATTGATATTTGCATGAAAAACCTTTGAGACCTAGTTTGTATATTATTATATATTTGTTTTCCTGCTGAAACGGAAGAGATAGCGCCATAAAGGTAATAATTACTTCCAATAATATTGAAACCCTGTTATGCAAATCAAAACACAATAAGCACTCATGCAATGTCAGAGCATAGTCTATCAAGAGTTGATTGTCTGGAAAATAAACAGAAGATTACTGAGATTAGATTATATAATTTTTATTTAAACATGGTGGTTCTTTCAGAAATAATATTTACAGATGTTAAATTAGTAAGTCTGCTCTACCTATAGAAACCGCGTATGTTTTAACAGAACTATATATTTACATTTTTTTTGGTTTTTTATCTAGATCAAATATAATAGATGTGAATATGTAATAGATACAAAGTATATTTACCGTAAAATCGCGAATTTACAGGTTTCAATGCAGAAGTTATATGTTTCTTAATTTGTGTTTAAATTTTGATAAATATTTCTCCTCTTTAAGTTCATTTGTTAAGGACTTGCAATTAGAAAAGCCGCAGAAACTGCAAAGCTTTTTTTATAACATTCAGTTCGAACATTAGGTATCTGAACATTTAAATCAGATGACCTCAAGTCATAAGCAGTTGAGCCAGACTGCTTCTCAAAAATTTCAGATAAATATGAAGGAGAGTTTCCATTCATAATTTTGTGCATCATTATAGCTTTCTGAACTTTGCGGTTGTGTGCCAGAGTTGACCAACCCAAATCAGAAAAAAAATTGCATGTGTGAACGGTTCTTTATGGGGCTCCAGTAATGATACGAGCTGCACGATTTTGCAACTGTTGGAGTTGATCGGTTAGCGTCATATCAATACTGTCCCACACAGTACTGCAGTAATCAAAGTGAGGTTTTACGGTTGTGTAGTATATGTTAATGAAATGCTGCCGGCTCAAATTTGTTATAATTTTATTTTTTATGTCTTGAACATGACCTTTCCATGTTGGATTTTCATCAATTTTGAGCCCTATATAAGCAAGTAACTTCAATAATGTACCTGCTGGAGAGCTATTCTATCAATTGTTAAGTCAAAATTTTCAGTGTAGGTGGCTAATCTTTGTCTTGAGCCAACCATCATAATTTAAATTTTAACGACATTCAATGTGAGTTTGTTTGCACATAGCCATTCTAGAACACACTGAATATCACGTTCTAATAGTGATTTGATTTCTGGGATGCTACATCCTGATACATTAAGGTTTGTATGTTCCGCAAACATTCTCGTGGAACTATGGGTAACACAACTTGGTAAATCATTTATATAAATTAGAAATAGAAGTGGTCCTAAAATAGTTCCTTGTGGGACCCCACAAGAAAGTATTTGTGCATCTGATAAAACTCCATTCACACTGCACATTTGCTTTCGACCACTGAGATAAGATTTAAACCAGTTAATTGCTGGTTGATCTAAGCCAAGATACTGTTATTTACCCAGTGCACCTACTCTTTTTTACTTGTCTAACGCCAGACCATTTCACTCGTCAATGGGGAAGCTCTGCAGCTTAATGGGTTAAACAACCATAAAGCACAGATGAGCACTCCTTTTTAATTAAGTACTTTTTCCAGAAACAATTTTAAAAACATGCATGTTACAGTAAGTTCATGACAAAGTTCATTCTCTTGGCCTGGAGATTGTCAACTAGGCATGTATAATAACAATATACGAAGTAGACTCTCGCTTAAGTAGGTGCATAGAAAATAGTGCCTTGAATGTACGGTAGCTGTAGCACTATTGATCAAGTATCTTGGTTTTCATCCAAGCAAGGTCTGATACTAGTTTATATTAGTATATTTTTGTATGTCATCTAGTGTGGTTAATAGTAAATAGTCAATATTAACATCACTATTATATTAATCCCCGAGCCGACGGCGCGAAGCGCCATGCGAGGGTACTAATTCCCCCCGGCTATTTACACCCGGGGAAACGAAAGCATTAGCGAAGTCTAAAGTTCATCAATCATCGCGGGCGCTGACCAACGAACGACGATCTTGAGTGGGTGGTCATCCTCACTTATCTCAAAAATATGGCAAGCAAGATTTCAATTTTAAAAGACATATATTTGGAAAATTGTTTCATATACAACAAGCTTCAAGCAATTTTGTTTGAAGAAATGAGAAGAATTGGTTTACTACGGGAAATCGGGAAATCTACTGCAAGTTTGCTTTGAATATTTTTAAATGTTACGAGTTTTGTTGCTTTAACTTTTTACGTAATAAAAAACATGAACTATAGAAGCTCTAAGTTTCATAAATTACCGTTTAATTTGAGAAAAAATCTTAAAATGTAAAGGCGAACACTGAACTGAAATTACCTAACAATTTTATTTTATTTGTATTAAACTTATCATGTTTTGTTAAGTAAAAACAGTTTATCGGCAAAATGTAGGTTTACTTGAATGAACATTACAAAACATTTTACGAAGCGTTTCAAGTTAAATTTTACATTAAATCAAAGCTCACAAAATGCAAAATAATATACCTACAGTATGTATGTCGGAAATTTATTGTTGTATAGTTAAAAGTACGAATCTTTCAACTATTTTGCAGTCTTGTACAAAATATATGAAAATAAAAATTTAAGAATATCGTGTTGTCATGGCAACACTTGAGCGCGAGCCTGCGTTCAGTGCTGGTCATTTCTGAATACTTCATGTTTAATGCATGGGAATATTGGCGAGGGGTTACTGCATGGATGTATTTCTAGTATTTACCTTAACTTGAGTCCTTGTTAATCCAGTTTCTGCTACAGCGCTTTCGATCATTTCGCGATAATTTAGACCAAGACCAACCATTTCACGGCCGTAAAACCTGTCCAAAGTTGGTTGTCGCTTATTCTAGTTCTCCTTCCTGTCTCCATTTTATTGCACAGAATCGCAAATAGACTAAAAAATCCGCTAGAAATGTTTTCAAATATGACAGCTCAAAGCTCCAGAAGAACGTGTGATAGAAACACGATTGTGATTGGTTTATATATAATGATATGCGAAGGCGTCAGCGTCAGGTAGCGCAGGCGATGGTCTGGCACGGGTAATACCGAATATTCTCAACTGAGAACATATGGGTAATACGCCTTGAGGTGTATGCTAAGCAGGTGGACACGTTGCTGAAACGGAACATATAGCATGCAGTATTATAATTATGTGTTCATATTAAAACAATGGTTTGTAAATATTAAACACATATTAAGTAGACAATGTCAAAGTAGGCATTTAACAGACAACATATCTTTCCCTGAATGTATGTATATTTAGAAGAACAAACAATATATCAAAGGCGAATCCTATATATATGCTATATCCCTGTAATGTGTTCTGGGGTATTTAACAAAATTTAATTTATTCAGCGCAAGTTCCTTACATTGCATTGCATGCAGGTACTCATTTACATGCAGAGTATTTACTCACGTTCCTCCTCTACAACATCATTTTTTCAACACAACTAGAAGTCACACTTCTATATGCTGCAATATTATTGCTTAATTATTGTTTATGTTATTAGTGAAATATGTCAATAGTATTAGTCGAAGTAGATCACGCTGTAAACATTTCTAACATTTAATTTAACACGGCAAAAGCCGAGATCGAAAGCGGTCTATATCCTCCCGTTAAAAAGTTAATTCATTTGATGAGCAAAAATATAAAAAAGTATAGGCATGTAATAAAACAATTTATTGGGCAGTGTATTCCTAAATCACCTTGCTTTCATAAATTTGCTTTCCACAAGATCTCGAAAAGATGTATTTGTATCTGGTAATGTAGAGTTAAACCGACGTAAACCCATAAATACTTCATGTAGTATTGACCACAAGACTAGCTTGAATGGGACGAAAGCCAGTAAACATTGTCGGTGATGGTAGCTACAACTGTACAAATGAAGTGATAAGGAATTGTTAATATTTTAATTTAAAACGTTGTTCTAATCCAAATTTTGAGTAACGTGCCTACTCTAGCCTATGCTTATATTACTCCTAGTGTTAATATTGTGAACCCAATGAATGCACTCGTTACTTATAGAAAAAAGTAAAAACTGAGCGAGTGAATGTGCCGCTCTCCGCCGATTCAAAGAAACCCAGGTTACCATAAACCAAAGATAAAAGTCAGCAGAAAAAAATATACAAACCTCTTTTACAGAAACCACAAGATAATTATTTGAAATCGAAAAATTCTTTGCGGTAGCAAGTTTGAACTAAGATCAGTGCTCACTGGTACTTCAGTTGGTAGAGTAGCTTTCGTCAAATGATATTTAAGAATCCTTTGAGGCCTATTTGATAAATATATTATTTTCAATTACATGCCAGAGAATTTTGCTGAAGCGGAAGATATAATTGCGCCATAGCCGTTTGCGATCATATTTAAACAATATTATGCAAATCCAAGGCAAGGGATTAACTGTTTATAAACCATTTTTAAAAACAATGTACATATTTATCAGAATAAAAGTGAATAATTGTATACGAGATGCAGTCCACAAGATCTATACGAGATGCAGTCCACAATGTTGAGTTTTGGGAATTATCACTATCCCTCTTATTAACAAGCAATATGAATTAAGCACCATTTTCCTCAACTTTATTGCAGTTACATCTTTACCTGTAAAATGTATGCATAATGTAATACTATATACCTAATTTAATTTCCTGTTTAAACATTTCATTTGGCTGATTAGATCAGTGCATTTTGCATTGCCACTGCCAGATAAAGGCTAAGAAAATCAAGGAATTCATTTCGTTTGAACAAAAAAGTAATTCATCTCGTTATCCACAGCCAAATTATAGTTATATAGGTCACGGTAAAAATGTAATATTTCCAATTTAATACTAAATACAGGAATGCATGGGGTCGCTCGGAGTCAAAATGAACAGGCTTTTTGTCAGTTGATTATGTAAAAGATATGATCTATAAATCACCATTCTAAAGGCGAGTCCCGAACAGTTATTGTACTTTTGTTTCACAAAAGCAAACAAGAGACGTCTTAATTGGTACTATAGATAGGTAGCCTACATACCTTTCTGAAACCACAAAATATTTCGAATCATGGAGGGTGAAACATGTCAATGCGCAGCAAGATTGAATATATTCATGGAAAATAGTTTTCGTTAATTGATATTTGCATGAAAACAATTGAGACCTAGTTGGTATATATTATAATATTTGTTTTCTTGCTGAAACGGAAGATATAGCGCCATAACTATTTTCCAATAATATTGAAACACTGTTATGCAAATCGAAACACAATAAGCACTTAATGTCAGAGCATAGTCTGTCAAGATATGATAAATAGTTTATTTTCCAGACAATCACTGATTGTCTGGAAAAAACACAGAAGATTAGATTAGATAAGATCATTTTTATTTAAACACGGTGGTTCTAGCTTTCAGAAATAATATATACAAATGTTAAATTATTAAGTCTGGTCTACCTAGAAGCCGTGTATGTTTTAACAGAACTATATTTACATTTGTTTTTGTTTTTATCTAGATCAAATATAATAGATGTGAATATGTAATAGATACAAAGTATATTTGCAGTAAAATCGCGAATTTAACATTAGGTATCTGAACATTTAAATCAGATGACCTCAAGTCTTAAGTAGCCTAGTTGAGCCAGACTGCTTCTCAAATATTTCAGATAAATATGAAGGGGAGTTTCCATTCATAATTTTGTGCATCATTATAGCTTTCTGAACTTTTCGCCGGTAGTGTGCCAGAGTTGACCAACCCAAATCATGTGTGAACAGTTCTGTATGGGGTTCCAGTAATGATACGAGCTGCACGATTTTGCAACTTTTGGAGTTGATCGGCTAGCGCCATATCAATACTGTCCCACACAGTGCTTCAATAATCAAAGTGAGGTTTTACGATTGTGTAGTATATGTTAATGAGAAGCTGCCGGCTCAAATATGGTTTTTCCTTTTTCAAAACGCGTAAATTTGTTTTAATTTTATTTTTTATGTTTTGAACATGACCTTTCCATGTTAGGTTTTCATCAATTTTGAGCCCTATATAAGCAGGTAACTTCAATCATGTACCTGCTGGAGAGCTATTCCATCAATTGTTAAGTCAACATTTTCAGTGTAGGTGGCTAATCTTTGTCTTGAGCCAACCATCATAATTTCAGTTTTAACGACATTCGATGTGAGTTTGTTTGCACATAGCCATTCTACAGCACACTGAATATCACGTTCTATAATAGTGATTTGATTTCTGGGATGCTACATGCTGATGCATTAAGGTTTGTATCATCCGCAAACGTTCTCGTGAAACTATGGGTAACACAACTTGGTAAATCGTTTATATCAATTAGAAATAGAAGTGGTCCTAAACTAGTTACTTGTGGGACCCCACAAGAAAGTATTTGTGCATCTGATAAAACTCCATTCACACAGCACATTTGCATTCGACCACTGAGATAAGATTTAAACCAGTTAATTGCTGGTTGATCTAAGCCAAGATACTGTAATTTATCTAGTAAAATTTCATGGTCCACAGTATCAAAAGCCTTTTAAAGGTGACTAAGAAATAGGGCTCCGTTTATTAGTTTTCTGTCAATGTTAAAACACTATTCGTTTTTCAAATCTAGCATTGCTGTTGCATGCAGTTGAAAACATTGAACGAAATCCCGATTGTTTAGGATTAATCAAATTGTGTTTGTGGACATAGTTATCTAATTGAAAGTAGACAAGTTTCTCGAATATTCTAGCAGTTGCAGAAATAATCGAGATAGGCCTATAGTTGTTAGATTCGCAGCCATCTCCTTTTTTAAATATTAGAGTCACTTTGGCCTTTTTCCAGTCGCTGGGAAAAATGTATAGACTTGCCTCAAGTCCGCCTCGGAACTTTTTTCCATATTTTTTTACAAGCTGGAAAGCAGAGAGAGATGCAAATTTGAGAGCGGCGCGAGGAGGCGGACTTGTTTCGCCTGGACAGTTTCCCAGTCTAATTAATTATTCTGGCGCGAAAACGTGTAATGTACATCTTCACATGTTTGAGTATTAATTAATATGTTATTTATTGGTGTTATTTATATCTATTACTTAAGTATTTATACTTTGTTACTCTCTGTACAGTTGATATGGAAAATGATATAACACCAACGAAAATATATTTAAGGGTCTTTTGTTCAGAGAGTATTTGTATTGAGTGTGGAAAAGACGTATCTAACGCTGATACACGACGGAGATTATTCAACGGCACTTTAAAGTATTTGGCGTGTGCGAATTTAGAGAGAGTTGCAGGAGTTATCATATACAAAGAAAGTTGCTTATCAAGCATATAGTCTGTCGATCTTGCAGTGAAAAAAACGCGCGCCCGTTTAATTTCTAAACTTGACGCTGTAGAGAACAATTTAATTTAACTATTCAATCTGAATCAGTTACAAAACGGGAGAGAAGGAAAGAAACCTCTGAGAGTTCAGATGCATCTAAAAATCCCGTCAAGAGGCGGCTTGTTTTCGCGCAAGAAGATCCCATTTCACAAACAAATGAGCAAACGACGCAAACCGATGCTGTTCAAGTGTCAGATGAATTTTCGTTAGTGGATGTATGTCATTAAAAGTATATTATACATTTATGAGCTATTTTATATGACAAATAATATATCTTTGAACAAGTTATCCTCTGAACTACTACAGAGTGTACAATAAGAACAAAATAAGGACATGTTGAGTCTAAAACTTGGAAAAACGAAGAACACTGAGCCCGGACAAAACTTTACTGATTCTTATGATAAAAGTGCATGTATAGACTATAGGTGTGTTTATTAACTCAGTTTAAAGACCATGTCAAATCCGTTATGCGCATCAGTTCTGCTCATAACAAAGGGGGACACACAGATATAAAACTTGCCCAAATTTTAAGCTTTTCGAACTTTTTTGAATTGAAACGTACTATAGTTTATATTCATTTACAATTGCGAACCAGAAAAGTGTTAGATATTCAGTTAGTATGTCTTATTTTACAAATATCGCAGTTCAAAATTAAACAAAGGGTTTGTTTACATTAGGGACTTACATGGTCTTTAACATTTTCTGTCTTTGTAACAAATAATTGTTTGATGCCCACTCTCTGCCTAACCATCATATAAATAAGCAGTAGGGTGACTGCTATAGTACTTTATTGGTGTGCATTTGATGTATTTAATAGGCTGTGTCACGAAGCACTACTGGACTAAGATAATACCAAAACTCTTTAATTATTTCTTTAATTACAATACTCAACAACGATTAATCTCCACAAAATACATCTCACGATTTCACCTTAACTCTACAATATCTCACTTCCATGTGGTTCTCTCTCCTCCAAAAACACATACACTAAAAGGCACTAAAACACATACACTAAAAGGCGCTTCTCTACACTCCCCCCACCTAAAATCAACTTGATTACTGACTATATCAGTTCACTGGTTAACTCAACACGAAAGTAGGTATAAAATAGTTCAAATCGACAAAGTTCATGCAACACTTCCATTACTATAATAGTGTTTAACTTATCTGTTCACAGTGTTCAATAATCCAACACAGGTACTCCATAACGATCGGGTTGTCTTCGATTCTGTCTTAAATTATAACGTAAATTTAATGGTTCTGCTTGATCATCGATTCCACGTGGTGCTAAACGTACTCCAGCACGCTCATTAATAAATTCAATCGTAGACTCATCCGAATATAATAGCAACTGTTTCTACGACAAACCGTCTTAGATTATTCGCATGTACAACTTTACGTTTTCTGCTTTCCAATGACTCTATCTCGCAATCGTTCTCTCGAATGTTAACAATGATGTAAGGACCCGTATGCTTTTCATCTAAACCTCGCGCTCGAAAATTCTTTAATAGAACAGAGTCCCCCATGTCAAACCGCTTGTTTTGTTGTGCTCCATACCGTAAATCATAACTACGTTTCTGCTTCTCTTGCGCTTTCTCGATCCTTTTAGTAACCAATTTCCGGAGAATATCTTGTCTCTTCTTTAACTCTTCAACGTATTTGGCTGGACCATGTGTTGGGCTAGACACCAGTTTTTCTTGATCCATTCCAAATGGCAATCTCACTTCTCTACCATATAACATTTCGAATGGTGTCGCACCCGTAGAGGATTGCGTACAAACCCGATCAGCCAGTAACGCATGTAGCAGCTGCTCGTCCCAATCATTTTTCTCTTTGTTTACTCTGATTCTCAACAAGGATTTCAAAATACCATTAAACCGCCTGCACAACACGTCTGTTTGGGGATGGTAGGCTGTAGTCCGTCTCTTTTCAATTCCAAACATTTCACATAGACTTGCAATTACTTTGGACTCAAAATTACTGCCTTGATCTGTTAGGGACCGGTCATTATTTATGGAAGGGGGGAGGGGAATTTTTTCTTTTCTAAATTTTTAAAATTGAAAGCCCCCCTAAAAGAGCAGAAATTTAATGATGACCCCCCTGCATATTAGAATATTTCTCTTTGACCCCCCCCCCCATTTTCATTTTTACTCATCAAATGGGGATACCCAGGCGTTATAGGGTTAATTATTAAATAAGAATATGGAACTGGCAAGATATTAACGTCGACCAAAAATATAAATTATAATAATAGCAGAAAATTATAATTAAAAGAGGAGTATTTTTATATAAAACACTAAAATCAGGTTTCCATTTGGTCTGGGCGATTGTAACCATGTTTAAGGCTGCCACTAGACTTAATGGTACGAAGTATTGCCATAGCAGCTGTGCGGCAACAATGAAAGTAACAATCAGTAATATTAGCAGCAAAAGGAGATAGCAATGACAATTCTGCCAAGGCATACCTACGAAATACAATGTATAGTGGTCTATACATCTTATTTTATGTGAGATTAAAAATTATATAAAATAAAATGACATGTACTACCAGATAAAATCATTTAGAATGAACATGGGTGGGTGGGTGGGGAAAAGGTATCGAAGCGCTAAACTTGCTGTAGCTAGGCAAAGCATACAATGGCAGAATGAATACCCAGACTGAAGCGCTGATCACAAAGCATCAAACAACCCCTTTGATTGATATGACGTCACAGACTCCCCTCAGCGGATGTGGCCTCACTGGCCTGCATAATACATCCGCTGTTAACCTTGCTTAATTTAAATGTATTTAACCACATCAAGAGCTGATGTAATATAAATAATACATTGTCAATTTAACTAGTCTGCAACCCGTAAAGACTGATTTGCATACAGCACACACAAGACAAGATAAATCCAGACTATTTCACATCAGTGACCATGATTTAGTTGCAACATTTACAACGAAATGGATACCAGTTAAGCAAATTCCTTCAAATTTAATTGCAACCCCCCCATCATTTTCTTGAAAAAATTTAATAGCCCCCCCTTCTAGTAATTTATTTCTACATATGCCCCCCCCTTATTTTTTCCCTCCCCCCCCTTCCATAAATAATGACCGGTCCCTTAGTAGGACTGGGGGCATTCCATGTCTAGAAAAGATGTCTTCCAGGGCTCTCGCAACTGTAACTGCTTCTTGATTTGGCAATGCTACTGCCTCTGCGTACTTTGTGTAGTAATCAACGACGGACAAAATGTATTTGTTTCCTCTACTAGTTGCTTTTAATGGACCAATAATGTATACACCAATCATATAAAATGGTATGGGTACCACTTCGATTGGCTTCATCGGACTCCGCGGCCTAGGTACTGCTTTATTTTTGGAACAAACTTCACAATTTCTACAGGCCAATAAAACTTCCAGGCCATTAATCAATAATCAACCAGGCCAATAATCATCCAGGCCAATAAAACCTCCGTTGAATCATCTCAAACGTTTTTGCAACACCTAAATGTCCAACTTGACAGTGGGCTTCTTCCAGTATATTAGGAGTTAGATAGGTAGGTACCACAATTTGCTCTCGTTCCTTTGCTGTCTTATCAGTCCACTTTCGACATAAGACATGATTTTTGACAACCAATGAATCAAAATTCTTGTATAATGTATCTAGAGTTACACTCACATCAACCGGTTTTTTATCTGGTCTAGAACCACTTTGCACCCATTCTTTTACCAACTGAATATCCTCGTCGAACGTTTGCATGTCTTCAAACTCTTGCCAGGTTGACATCGAAACCAAGATAGTGTTCACAGGTGCACGAGACAAGGCATCCGCGTGCTGCATTTTCGTGTTAGGTAGGTGTTCTATCGTATAGTCACGATCATATTCTTCCAATTTTAAGATCCAACGAGCTAATTTACCATTTGGATGTTTGATGTCTCGAAGCCATTTCAAAGCCTTATGATCAGTATATATGGTGACATTTCTCCCATATACGTATGGGTGAAAGTATTGTAAAGCCCAGACCACTGCAAATGCTTCCTTTTCTGTTGTTGTCCAGTTCTTTTCAGCACCCGAAAATGCCTTAGATGCAATTCCTCATTTTCATCCGTTTGGGTCAGCACTGCGCCTATGCCCACATCACTCGCATCCGTATACAATATATAGTCTCCATTTAAGTTAGGAAATAAATGCCAAAACAGGGGCAGATATAAGTTGTTCTTTCAGTTGTTCGAATGCTCGTTGACAGTTCTTGTCCCAATCAAAGCGGACACCTTTTTGCGTCAGACGATGAAGAGTGACCTGCAATGTCACTGAAACCAGAAATAAAACGCCTGTAGTAAGAGGCCATACCCAGGAAACGTCGCAACTCAGTGAGATTCTGTGGGTTAGGAAAAGCACGGATTGCTTCAACTTTGGTCACATTTGGGGCCAGACCAGCAGCAGAAACGGTACAACCCAAGAAATCCACACTTGGCTTCGCAAAACTACACTTGGACAACTTAAGTCTCAATCCAGCTCTGTCCATAGCCTGCAAGACATCGTCCAAATTCTCCAAATGTTGGTCAAACGTGCGACCCACGACCAAAACATTATCTAAGTAAACCAGACACTTGAGTGGCAAAAGACCATTCAACGCAGCAAGCATAAGTCGCTGGAACGTGGGCACAGCATTCGTTAGGCCAAAGGGCATACGCAGGAATTCAAAGTGACCACCCCTGGAATCACGAAAGCTGTTTTCTCCTGACTAGATTCGTCAACTGGAACCTGCCAATATCCCGAGGCTAGGTCGAGTGTCGAAAAATACTGATGACCAGCTAAGTTATCCATCAAATAAGCAACCTGGGGAAGTGGGAAAGCATCTTTCACTGTGACATCATTTAGTTTCCTGAAATCAATACAAAAACGCCATGTCCCATCTTTCTTTCGAACTAAGACTATAGGACTTGACCATGGTGAATTACTCGGCTTAATTATGTTGTTTTCCAACATTTCTTCTACTTGGTCTTCAACAAAGGTTCTCAGAGAATTGGGCAGTCTTCGAGGCAGCTGTTTAACAGGTACGGCATCGCCTGTCTCAATCTTATGCTCTGCTAGTGTGGTTACGCCAAGTTCGCTAGAATTTTCCGCGAAAACATCTTGGTGTTTATTCAACAAATTTTCCATTCTCTCTCGCTCCTCACCCGACAGATGCTCTAACTCAAATTTGATCTTATCCTCAGCAGATGGTGTATCACACTTTGAATTAATAAATGTCGGGTCTCTTAACTCATCATCAACTTGCTGAAGTTCCCCTACAGTCATGCCCTTGTACAACTTAATAGGTGATGTCCCTGGATTAATAATCTGGATGGGTACACTCTGTTCTTTTGCTGTACAATAACTCTTGCTACAAGAACACCTTTCCCGGAGAAGTTCATATTAGGCTCTAAGATGCTTTCATTTAAAGTGGGATTTCGGACCCTGGCAGTTTTGAAAACTTCATGTTTCGCCGGAACAACCAAATCCTCATCTAGAACAACGCCCAGGAGATCTGCTATGGTTGAATCAAATAAACACAAGGGTTTTGTGGTACCATCTGGGAATTTCAAAACAATTTCAGCCATATCGACATTTACTTTGTTAGTTACTAACCAATCTAAACCCAGAATAATTTCAGACACCATTTCATTAGCCACATAAAAGTCATGAGATGACTTGTTGTTTTCATCAAATTGCACATTCAAGGTGGTTTTGCCCAAAATCCCAATGGGAGAATTGTTAGCGGCTTCTGTAACAATATCGAATGGAAATAATGGGGTATCATCCAGTTTAAGAGGTTGCCCCTGGTTTTACTAACTAATGAAATGGATGCGCCAGTGTCAACTATACAAAGTTTGTTTTTCCCATTAATAGTGGTCTCGACCATAAGGGTTTTCTTCTTACTCGCTGAAGAAACGGTAGACAGTCTGATTTTTTAATCATTTTTCTTGGGGCTTTCACCATCTCTACTAGAACCCAGACCTCCCTCCAACTTGGCATTACAGAACTTTGCAATATGGCCACTATTCCCACAACGATAGCAAATGGTCACGTGTCTATCCATTTGCCAATTCTTATCATAACCTTGGAGCTTAGTATTAACTGGTTGTTGATTAGCCAAGGGGTAGGATTTTGCCAAATGTCCTGGTTTTTGACATGAATAACAAAACTTAGTTTGTCGCCGTGCAGTATTATTTTGCCTGAAGTTGTTCATAGTAGGGCACTGTCTGGACACATGACCAAATCCATTACACGAATAACATGTTTTGGCAGCATTCAAAGAACTAACTGAGCCAATTGTTGTTCTACTTAATTTTTCTGTTGCTTCTCTGGCTAATGTTTTCATTGTGGCATTTGCTGCCTCAAATCTTCGAGCAATTAACAAGGCATCATCTAAAATGTTTGGTGGCTCTTGTAACAACTTGTTTTGGGTTGCCTTATCTCTCAACCCCAAAATAAATTGATCAACGAACCTGCTAGAATATTCGTCACCATGGAAACCACATCTAGCTCCAGCTAGCTTCTCGCAAAGAAACAGCATACGAATCAACAAACTCACCAGGCTCCTGTTCTCGACGATGAAAATTGTAACGTTTCTCCGTAGCAGTCTGATTCCTTTCAAATAACGACTTCAACATTCCAATCCAATCTTTGTACGCGTTTTCCCCCTTTGCCAAACTCAACCGGTTCTGCCAAACGAAACGCATCTTCGCTCAAATTAAATAACAGCGCAAGTCGTCGCTTTTTAACATCTTCAAGTTCCACTGCTTCGAAGTACAGATTACATTTCTTGATGAACAAATCAAAGTCTTCGCCAATTTTAAACTTGTCGGGCCTTCGAAACAATGACAAAGATACTTATTCGTCTCAACATTCGGTGCTTCTGCTTGCTCAGGCTCGACCGCCATGTTTGCACGATACAAAACACACTCGAAAACAAGTCAAAATGTCACATCATTTCCGCAAGTTTGGTCTCGGTGGGACCCCCAAAATTGTCACGAAGCACTACTGGACTAAGATAATACCAAAACTCTTTAATTATTTCTTTAATTACAATACTCAACAACGATTAATCTCCACCAAATACATCTCACGATTTCACCTTAACTCTACAATATCTCACTTCCATGCGGTTCTCTCTCCTCTAAAAACACATACACTAAAAGGCACTAAAACACATACACTAAAAGGCACTTCGATGTAATTAACGATGTAATTAATGTTCGTCACATCTGACATTGGTGTTGGCAGATTATGCTTAATTAGCGTCGCTGGGAAAAAATATTTTATATTATACACTAAGCATGGTATCAAACATTAAAAGTCAAATCAAATCACTTTATTCACACTATTTAATATATATATATACATTATTGACTATAAGTAATTCATTTTTTTGAGTATATAGAAGAAAAATATAACGTGAACGAGAATATTTCAAACGTGCACGACGGTTAAAAGAGCATAAGTTTTCGAGTTAACCATCGTCTTCGTCTACGTATAAATAAATAGCTAAGCGGTTGAGCTAATTATTGAATTACACAATTCTGGTGGTAAGCATTATATAATTTGTTTATTAATTTATTTTATAAATTATTTAAACGGGAATAAAAGCAAAAAGAAGGGAAATATTTGTAAAATGACTTTTTGTAAATTAGGAGAATAATTTAAACAATGAATGACACCATCATTGATTAATCATTAATATTTCCTTTATCAGTTCGTAATATTGTCTTAATCATTAGTTTGTGTATGTTAGAACGAGGCAATAAGATCTGCATACTATTATATACGCATCCAGTAAAATAGTGGTCGCGGACTGCATGATATGATACTACTAGTGGACAGGTATTCTGAAATATAATTCCTTCTCTTCAATTGGCCATGGGATGATATATAGTTTTAACTCGCAATTTTCGGAACCATGATAGAAACAACTTTGTAGATCGATTTGTTATGACATCGCGAAGCAAATCGTCTTTCTACATCTTTCTTCATGTGGTCGAAGAAGAACAATGTGGATGTGGAGTGATAGATAATGGTGTACCAGTGGATTACTCATGCAGGGTACGAAGGGATCGATCGATAACGCGCCAAAGCCTGGACGCGGATCAATGATGCGTCCGAATATCAATGAAGAGTCCGATTGTCTAACCAAAACTGCCAAAGGACCCATTTTCCTTGCCCTCCTCAGGATAGTATGCGATCGCCGAAGGCGTGAGCCGAGTGTCGCAGGCGCAAGTTAGCTAGGGGATCTGGGGGCATGCTCCCTCAAGAAGTTTTCAAAAATTAGGCCTTTGGAATAGCATTTCCTGCATTCTCAGCTTCTCAAATTAAACCAAATTTTTAATGGTGATATTTGTAATATATTGCACGCTAAACATTCAAAAACAACATAAGTTTAAGTACGCTCACCAACAAATTTTGTTTTTTATTTTTATTTTCAATCATTATGTTAAACTCATTTTACTCAATACAGGTCCTAGGACCCTGGCTTTGGGGCAATAGGCCAGTTTTTTTCTTCAGTGGTACTGGGGCAGAGGAGGGGCCCAGTGGGGCAAATTCCCCACCAGTCCATGGTATTAAAAAATGCCTTGGCTCTCCGTTGATGTCATGAAATGTTTGATAAATATAGATTGTTTGGGTACATATAATGTAGAATAAACAAACAAAAAATCGTAAAGATAAATTTTCCAGAGCAGGGAGTGTCCTTTTAGCGGCATTAAAAGTAGGTTGCGCGCGAAATTTAAAAGGTTAAAACCGTCACATAATGGGTTCATGGGAAGAACGTTTTCATGTGTTTTATTGTAAAAAAAAAGTAAAAGAACAATATGCAAATTAGGTAAATGCATGAATTAAGCATGCGTGAAAGGCATTAATTGGTGCCAAAAAATGAAAGTTTCGATCAGCAGCTATTTCAAGACTTAAAATTGAGCAAATTTTCTGACTGTTAAACGAAGAATTGTAAGTCAATTACACTGTTACTCTGAATAATTACAAGTCAATTACACTGTTCCCCTGAAGAATTATAAATCAATTACACTGTTCCCCTGAAGAATTATATGTCAATTACACTGTGTTTCTCTGAAGATTCAAAGTTAATTACATTGTTGCCCTGAAGAATTACAATGCAATTACACTTTGTTCTCCTGAGGAATTATAAGTTAATTACACTTTGTTCTCTGAATATTTATAACTTATTAATTACACTGTTCCCTTGAAGAATTGTATGTCAATTACACTGTCCAACTGAATAATAAGTCAATTATACTGTTTCCCTGAAGAACTATAAGTAAATTACACTGTGTTCCTTTGAAAAATTATAACTCAATTACACTGTTCCCCTGAAGAATTACAAGTTAATTACACTTTGTTCTCCTGAAGAATTATAAGTTAATAATACACTTTGTTCCTCTGAATAATTATAACTTAATTACACTATTCCCTTGGGGCCGGTTGTTCAAAGCTGGGTTAGCTTAACCCTAGGTTAACGTAAAATTCAAAGGAAACTTCCTGACAGCTTGTCTATAAATTTGGAAATATTCTTCAGAGATCTTGTGTGGATCGATAGGAGTTTACTTCTCTGAAGTTGTGAAATAAACAGCCGTGCAGAAAGATACAAGCTAAAACAGCAGGTTAAATTTTAACCCAGGGTTAGCGCTAACCCACCTTTCAGCAACCGGCCCCAGGCTCATAATTTTTACGCGTGTAGCTTGAACAGTGTATACAGCTATTACAATTAAGGTTGTCCCCGAAAAAAGCGGAAAAGTCGAATACGCGAGCGCGAAAGCTTGCTGGGAATCGCTAAAATATTTTAGCGATTCCGAGCAAGCATTTCCCGTTCGGAGACAACCTTAATTGAAATAACTGTATACAGCACGAAGGAATATAATTATGATTAGCACTCTACCTTATATTAAACAAAAATTTGAAAACCCATCTTCAAGCTGCGCATGCTCACCGGTACGTTACGTTATTACGGGCGAAGTGGTCTATGAAATGTCTATGATGTATTTGGGTAAAACAAACTATTGTAAACGTATAATGGTTGAAAAAGAAAAGAAATACAACTCAACGTTACTGAGCATGCTTCTTTTACTTGTATAATAGGATACATGAAAAATATTCAATTCTGATTGGATAAGAGCAGCGCAATTATTTTCGAAATTGCACTGCGTGCAATTAGTGTACTGCAATTAGCAAAAAAAGAGCAGAGCCTGGAAACGAGGGAGGAAAATCAGCATGGCGGCAGATACTTGCATGCAATGTAAATTTTCACTCTTTCTTGTACAATTGCAATTGAGAACCGTGCGTGAATATATAGAGAATAATACATGGGTGCGCGGAAATATACCGGATTTATTTCGAGTGTTGAACATATCTCACGAGTGAGCGCAGTGAACGAGTGAGATATCATGCTCAACACGAGAAATAAATTTGGTATTTCCAAGCACCCATGTATTTTTCTGTTTATTATATAAAGACAGTCTTTGAAAAGCGATAACTTTTACAGAAAAACGATAATTGAAAAGTGATAATTTTCACACGTAAAAATATCGTATTTCTTAAGTGTGTTTAAATACGATTTTTCTCAACAGCCAAAAACTCTATATAACACTTGTTTATATAATAAAATAATTTATCTGAGTACAATGAGATAGATAGATCGTTTATGATAGATAGATCGTTTATTAAGAATTATAACCTTGATTTTACAGCAAAGAACTGAATTTAAAAAGGTTTTACCAGGGCCGCCCAGAGGTTGGCGGGGGCCCGGGGCAAATTTTTTTTTAGGGGGCCCCTATCTAAAAATTTTTTTCCGGATAACAACCTCCGCCC